TAATTTACCGAACGACGCATTATGACAACAGTCATAAATATTCATGAAGACTTATTGATGTTCACGACAGGTGTTATGTCATGTTTATGTGGGTGTCATGACGGTCTTATTCAATACCCGTCAAATAAAGTGTTACCAATGAATGATTTATTTGAAATGAAGGGAGACGATAATTTCATGGCTCTGGAAATAACAAGATACCAGCATCCTTTAACTTTACTTTTTCCATGGAGGCTCAGGAATGGGCAACAAGAATCTTTTTTTTTTTAATGCTGCGACATTCAACTCGTTTTAAAAGAATGTAACGTAGATCCATAGATGTCAAGGAACTGAACCGCACAGCAAAACATTTACACATAACCGGCATCAAGCAAAGCAAAACGACACTTAACGCAAGAATCTATGTGGCAGTTTCAAAATTAGGAACAGACTTCAAAGTCAGAGTTGGTTTCCTCTTTCTGCTGACCTGTAATAGCAGCAAACACACACTCTCCTACCCAAACAAATGACCTTGGAAAGTTCCTTTAGGGGATAAATGATAGATAACCTTTATTTATCTACTTTTTGGTAACATTGCACCTTCTCATGGCTTGCTGCCCCAGGCAGGCAGCCATTACAAAAACTCACCCTGCTTGATACTCTTTGTTAAACTGTTTCCAAAACCTGCAAGTGTGGTTATTTTAGAAAAAAACAAAACAAAAAAAACATATAAAACCCGATAAGGAATAGTAACAACTGCACTTAGCTGGTGAATTAATTCTGACAAACTGATCATAGAAAAAAAATATCAAAGATTGATTTACTTCAGCTTATCAGCCGTCTTACTTGTTTAGAACATTTTATATTTCCCTCTTCAAATTATCTTCTAAAAATACTCCTGATCCTTATTAGCAACCGCTATCAGCCTGAACCTGCTTAATTTATTTCTAATTCATCTGTAATTATTTGCAATGTCACAGTGTGTGGGAGGGTTTTACACATGGGGAGAGTTGGTTGATATAAAAGTCATTTGCTTAACATTTTTTCCACACTTTGACAGTTTTTTTTTCCTATCTATTTGAACAAAAGACCTAAAAAAGGGCCAGAAAAGTCGCCTTTTGAGCCGCTTGGCGCAATGAATGTATATCCTCGTCTAATAAGCAGCCTGTGTTTGACCACGGCTGATTGATTTCTGAAATTCTCTGCATGTTTTTCTGCGTCTTTGTTTTGAATCGGGAACTCATTTCGTCTTCACAGTTACATCAAGGCTCCTTCATTCAACAGCAGCTGCGTCGGTTGCCATGAGAGCAAAGTCCTGTCGGAGCACAGTGGCTTTTGATGCAGCCTAATTTCCTCTTTTATACCCATTCATCTTTCCTCGGCTTTAAAGAAAAAAAGGCTCACTCCTAAGTGCAAAAGACAAGATGGAAAAAAAAGAAGAAAAAAAAAAAAGAATAGCAGCACCAGGATCCTACATTGATGGATTTTAAAAGCTTAATGTGTGGCTCCATCTGCAAAACCAATAAGGGGTTGACATTCTTCTTTGTCATATCCCAGAATATATCCAAAAGTGTAAGAAAAGGGCCAACTACTTACAGTCCGGTCTGGGAGCTTTTTCCCCTCGCTGCATTCACTCCTTTAAGGTGAATAAATGAGTAGCTAGTCAGCCAGTCGTCTTACCGGGGCTGATTGTTTTCTCAGACGTAAAGCCAGCCTCAGAGTTTTCCGAAGGGATACTCTGGATGGATGACAGGGGGATGTCGGTGTCCGTGCTCGTCAGCCAGGTCGACTCCGTCTCTTTGGTCCAGCTCTCCAGGTAGCGAGGCTCCAGAGCGTCGGTCCTGCTCCCCCCGCAGCCCATAGCTCGGCCTCCGCAGGGGCGCCTTCGCTTCCCTGTTTGACTCTTTTTAAACAGGAAATACAGTCACATGCTAGAAATTTGTTTAATAATTGGAAATTACTGTCCCTAATTGCTGCAAGTTAAACTTACAAGGAACAATAAGCATTTCTTAAGGTATTAAATAGCACTTCATGTTCTTCTATTATACAGGCAGTACTTACAGGACAGCACACAGCTGTGCCAGACAGTAAGAGCCCTCATACGCTGAGAGTACAATTGTATCTTTTCTTTAGAAAGGTGAGCTGGAGGCAGAGTCAGTGCTATGTTTCTCCATGACTGTTTGGAAACAGCATCTTCTTTTGATGAAGCAGGCCAGGGATCGGTCAATCAATCAATTAGCCATCATGCTTCTGCCTTAAAGAAAGAAACGTAAAAAACAGAAGAGACAGGAAACATGTTGCTGTTTTATTTCATTCATCTTTTCCGAGTGGGATGCCAAGAGGGTTTTCAGCTAAATACAACTTGGCGCCATAACTAGAGAAATTTGGGTTTGGTAGACTTTTTTCCCCCCATTGTATCCATGATTCTTAACAGTTACTTTTGTGCTCTTGAAAAGCGAGTTTACTTTTCAGCAGCACAAAAGTGCTTACCAGTATTTTGTACAAAAAAAATAAAAATAAAAGCACTTATTGGATGAGCAGCAAAGTTGAGCCAAACATACTCCAACTTGTCAACACTCACCAAAAGCGAGAATGGAAACATCTGCAGTTCTGACATCAACCAACTAAACAAAACAAAACACTTTTTCATCAACTTGGGGAAAACCAAACCCCCCCCCCCCCCCTTTTATTCAATGCCATTGGGACAGACGCAATCGTTATATTTAGTTTGCATGCTGGTTGAGTCAGAAGCCATCCCACAGTAGTGTGTGACCAAACTGGTAACCAGTCTGACGCATGGTTCACTAACAGGATGAGCTGTTTGGGTCAGAGAGGGTCTAACCCAGCCTCATCAGCTCTGCTGTTCAACACATAAATGCATTCCATACATGTGGCTTTTAAAGAGACATAAACTAGCTTCCCAGCAGTAGACTTACGTTCAAGAAGCATTGTTACGGTAAAAAACAAACAAACAAACAAACAAAAATAATTACAGGTTGTGCCAAGTAAAGATCAATTGTAAAATGTCAGTCTGCAGCACAGTTTTAATGATTTGATCAATAAGAATAATGAAGTCCAACAAAACCAAGGGTCTCCTACATTGTAAGAAAATAAGTGGGCTCTTCACAGTCAGGCCTCCTGTGGATCATATGACTCAGTAAGTTAGCGCCCAGAGGGTTGTACTGTATATAAGCGCACACGCACCGTTATCTCCAAAGGCCACGAGGAAACACACAGCGTTCTAATGATCAGCAGCGAATATCCACGAGACGTGTGACAGAAACGCGACAGACACTAATGACAACAGAGAGGCTTACAGACGGTGGAGGCTCCGTGTTTTTGACTCCCCTCGCCTCGTCACTGCAGCTGCAGCAAGAGCACCAGCGTGTCGTCTCCCACTCCGGACTCTTAAGAGGATGTTCATACAGACACACCCCCTGCTGGTTAGCACACAGCTGGGTTGTCCGCACCTCCTTCTTCCTCCATCTCCCTGAATCCCGCGAGTCCACGAACACTCGGTGAGAGGTAAATCGTTCGTCCAATGTCGTGAAGATGAGTGGGTATCTGTTGGTCTTTAAATAAAAAAATTGAAATGAGTTACCTCAGCAGTTGCTAGGTAAACTTGACAATGGTGCTTTTATATGGTGACGCAGCTCGTGTTTGAACTACTGACAGCAAGAAACACCTTTAGTGACAACAAAGCACCTGTTACTATTGTGCTGACTGTTTCAAAAAATTACAGTCAATGTTACCATTACGTGCAAATCTGTCACAGGGCCGGCCCAAGTCAGAAGCAAACTAGTGGCTGCTTAGGGCCCCGTGGCCGCTAGGGGGCCCTTTAATTGGAACAGACCATTTTTTTTTAGTAATGATTTGTATGTGATTCTATTAACAAAAACATATCAGATCAGTTTACTACCATTGCTAAACATTAGTTCTTGAAGAGTGAGAAATTATTTAATAAGAAATAACATGCCTGTATCTTAGTTTGCCTGAAGATGAAAACAAATATACTTCAAATGCCTAATTTAGCTTAGTACTTAAGTTAACATTGAGTTTAAAAATATAAATTGAAATGTGTTCCTGTCTCTGAAAAGTTGGAACATCTTTAATTGTACTCCATTTTTCACCCTTATATAACTTTCCTAGAATTTGCCATTGCAATCTAATGTTTCTTGCTGACATGTTTTTGTTGTGTAAAGCATTTTGAATAGCCCCCTTGCTGAATTGCGCTAGGCAAATTATCTTGATTTGACTTCACTTATAATGAAAGATCAGATTGTAATTTTTACATTTTATAAGATAAAACCTTAAGAGCTGCTCTTTCCTGGGAATGACACTGTTGGTCAAATACCAGCAGGATGATCACTATTTCAACCAGCAGGGGGCACTCTTGGTCCATTTCCTATCCATTTTCTTAACTTATCAAACAGGAGCAGAAACTTGACCACACATCTTTGTCTTGAAATTTATTTAAGTTGGACAGAGTGGGTAAATTGCATATAATGATAATGTAAAAATATATATATATATATATATTACACAACAATAGTGAGAGGGCATAAACCTTAATGGGCTTGCCTGTTTTTTTCTGCACACACATCCTCTGCATTAGGCTTCCTAAAAGTTAAAACTACCACTTAAGTTCTTCCATCATGTCGGAAAACCTACATCATCAAACAGCAGCTACTTTCTTTCTGGAAAACTGCATGTTATTGATTGCTTGTGAAAATGTTCGCTTGGCAACATAGTGCACATTCATCACAGCTCTCTGCTGCGGTAACTATGATTTTTCTCAACGTACCAAAGTAACAGTAAACAGCATTTCTCTTCATGCCATATACATTTGCTTCTGCGAATCAGCATCTTTTATTTCAGATGTAAGAAAAACTGACAGAAAACAGCAGAAGTTTGTAGTGCTCTAAGATCAGTTCACTCTTAACTTACTTGTGTCGCCAAGTCCCAATGGGAAAATATATGAGAGATGAGTACTGGTCTGGAAGTGACCACTTTGGATCTCTTGAAGTGGATTAAGCTAGATTTGCACAAGACTTAAAATAAAACTGAAAACACATTCTTGTTCAAACATAGAACCAAGGACTAGAACATAAAATGTTTTATTTTTGCAAACTCCTTTGTGAACACATTTAGTCTTAATCTAATTTGGGGCACTAAGCAGAATATGTGACTTCCTGATCTACTCCCACATCTTATTCTCTAGTCACCTGGCAAATGAATTTCTTTTCCTGTGGACAGCCCAGTCAATATGAGGCAGGACAGCTTTGATTTGTATGTTCTGCCCTCACGTCTTTTTGGACTGCTGGTCAATAGGCCTGTCTTCTCATTACCTTGGCGATTAATGTGGAAAATTGCCATACGCGTCACTGGGGTGAATCGCGGTTTATCATGCCTCAGCTACACACAGATGATACCACAGAATTACAATGAAAATGGAAGTGTGGGGTTATTCCTGACTATTGCTGTGACTATTTAAAAAAATATAGGAGAGGTTTTATATAACCTAAACATTAGGCTTGTATATTTTTTTAATTTGTTAGCATGAGGGCCTAGTTGGGACAATGGACCCGGGTGTGACCCCCTGTCAGCGAACCTTTATCCCATTACATTTACTCATCTGTCTTCATACAGAGGATTTTAAACATGTTTGCTCACTCAAAATCAGACTTTCTAACACAAGATAAGGTTAACTAAAGTAAAACTATTCATTATTCTTTGTTTGCGCTGCAATTAATTTATTTGCAAACAACCAAGGGTTTTATGAAACACTGCAAGATGTTGAAACTACAGTAACCACACAGCTTCAAAGCCTTCCTGTACTGTTGGTTAGGGCACATTTATATGCGGTGTGGGTCTGCAAAACGTCTTCATTTTTAACGGATGTTCAAGGCTGACAGCAGATAATATGCACTCACTATTGATTTGAAAAGTTTTTTGCGAGAGCAGACAAACTCATTTCTGGCAAATCCTGTCAGGCGGAGCAGCGTCTGAGCCAATGTGCCGTAGTCAGCAGCCAAATCCCAACTTTCCCTGGGAGACAGGCGCTGAGTTACAGTGGTGGGAAATTTAATCGAATGACAAGGACTTAGAAAGGAAAATGCTGATTTCAGTCACGTGCCGAGCCACCAAGCTGACAATTGAAAGTACCTCCACCCTGTTGCACAATTTTCCTCCGATACTTTGATTTGTTCCGGTTTGAAGTTATTTAAAAGACTGGGGAGTCACACTGAGATACTGTCTCTAGTTGTCACAATTCCATCAGCAAATTGTTGATTGTAGCCACAACAAACAGCTTATCCAGATAGAGCGCTGCCTGGAGCTTGCGTTCCAGTGGCATCCATCACATCTCTGGATCTTTTTCTGGCAGTGACGTGCCTCCTCTCATTAGACTGGCAGTGTGTAATCTCTTCTCTCAAGCAAAGGAGCGCCAGAGATCTCCTCGAAGGCTGTGTTCTCTCAATCCATCTTGGTCCGGGCCAACGTGACATATTTTCATTAGTGTAAAGAGCGCTACAGGAATAGAGAGCTGCCTTATAAGTAAAGCAAGTGGGTTTCCAAAATCTGTGTTTACTTTGTCAGCGTAGTAATGAGATAAGTTTATCAGTCGTGCGACAAGTAGAGCAAATCAAGCACAAGAAGGACAGGAATATTTTAAAGTTCCAATTCCTTTAGTCTTATTTCCTGCAGACTGAGAACTTTATGATTACTTAGAACAAACTTTAATGTCTAGTTTGAATAATCAACATGTCAGCCTGCAGGCACATCTGGACAAGGTCCTAATGGAAGCAGGGGAGAGAAACTGCAAACCGCAGCATCCTTGAGTAAATCTTCCATCCTATTACAGAGCGTTAATTCGAGAGTGTATAAATCCACATATTTCATCATATCTTAATGAAATAGCCTTTCATCTCATTTAATTACATTAAGTGTCCAGATTGTCTTGGAATATTAGCGTTGTGGGAAAAACCAACTGAAAAGTGATTGATATTGACACCATAACAAAATCATTCTGCGTGACTGATTTATGTAATTTCTCCCTCTCTCTCATTTACATCAGGGGACAAGCTAAAAATCGATCTTTCCTCACTTCTCTGGCTTCAATTGATATTTGCAGCTTTTATATTCTGGTGAAGACTTGCCTGTAAATGCAGCCTTTGCACTTTACGCACTCCATTCGTTTTATCTGGTGAAACACACAACTCTAATCCTATCAAAGGCAAAGAGCATCCCAGAAAGGCCCAGGGTGGGTTGTGGCTTATGAGGGAAAAGAGAGGGGCATTAGTATTTATGGGATTTCATGAGGGATACTCAAAGTTTTAGGGAAATTATCTTGGGGAAATGAGTAAAAACCCATGCAAACACAACTCTTTGAGAGTCACAACAAAAGAGTTTTTGACCGAAAAGCAAAGTGGAGCCTGGGAGTATTTTAGAAAAGTAAGTAGCATATTTTTTCCAGTTTGATTTAAACACTTTAATACTGTTGTCACAGTATATCATCTGTGTCCATCTCCCTCTATCCCATTAATTGTCCCATTTCACACCACCGATCAGCTTATCCCTACATTCTATTTACAAAGCCTCGCAAAAAGAAAATCTTTGAACATTTAAAGAATTTTAGTACAACT